TCGAATTTTATACTTGAGGCAAGCTTGATCTGATTTTATGGAGTTTTGGAGATTATCTTTATGATTCCCGGAAAAGATCTAAGTCTGAGGGAACAGCTGTTTACAACAAAGGAGGAAGGTTATGCAATTAATGCCAAACGCCGTCTACCCTGAATAATGAATTTAATGAGAACTCACAATATACTCAATGAATGTAAAGAGCTAGTTGACTGGAAGTTAGATCTAAGTGTGTAGATTTTCGCATGACGGATTAACGGACTAATTTGCTTGTATCTTGTGAGAATTTTCTAGACTAGATCCAAATAGATGTTTCATGATAATTTATGGTTTAGAAGGACGGTCACTGAGATATTGTTTAGTTCCTGCGATTTTTAAAATTCTTTCCTCACTTAAGTTTGTTTGAGGACAAACAAAGAGGTAAGTCTGGGAGAGTTGATAACACCGTATTTTGACCACTTTTATGGATCATAATAATGTCTTATGCAGGTGTTTTAACTCTGTTTTCAATGTTTTTAAAGTTTTTTCAATGTTTTAGAGTTTCAAAAGACTTTTCAGGAAACTTGGGCAAAAGATATGCAATTTGGAACAAATGAGCAATTTTGGATAAATGCAGACCGTCAGAAGTATGACAAGCGATGAAGTCCTTCTAACCGTCTGATCACCCCCAAAATTTGAGACAACATAGAGGATCCAACCAGCTTTCTAATGCACTTGGTTTGGAGACAATCCAACGGTTAGATCTTCAGATACTCCCGATGCAAGAATGACAGAGAATAAAGTTCCGGAAGAGAGCCATGTGACGGGACCGCGGCCAACACCTGTTTTCCCACGGGTAGAGCCACCGCGACCGCGGAACTTGGTCGTTCACTTTCCAGACGACTTAATTAAAGCCCAGATCAATTTATTTCGTTATTTTTGAAGCCCTATGTGTCCAGAACCACCCTAGAAGCTATAAATACCCTTTTTAGGTCATTCTAAAGAGAGGAGACCAATAGAGACCGAAAATTTAGATAGATAGAGAGAGAGTTCGTGGGTGTGCTTCACAAACCCTAGGAGGCTGCCGCCCTTGAAGGAGGAGCCGCCGCTGGAGGAAGACATCGCGCCTATCTGCTTCTCTGTTCTTCGTTTTTCTTCCTTCTTTTCTTTAATTTCCTGCACTTTCAATTTCATTTATGATGCTTTGTTACAATATGTTTGAGTAGTTACCCAGTTGGGTTTAAAGGGATTGTTCAAAGGGAATTTCATGTGTCTTTGCTTATGAATTGCTAGATTTAGGATTATTAATCTTCTAGATGTTCTTCGTTTGCCTTTAATCTTACTGCGTGATTCTTTGCTGGCCACTTAGAAGCCGATCTGACATGATATGTTGCGAAAGCTTTCATTGATTGTCTGAACTAGGGTGAAACGAGCAATGATTCTTTAGGAGTGGAAACCTACCTATAGTTGAGTTGTGAATGTTGATGAGTCTTGTTCTGCTATTGCATCTTCTCCCTTCCAGGATCAGAGTGGAAACCTACTGATCAGGTTTGCGAGAGATAGTTGTTTAGTGCTGCGAAAGTAGGCTATTCATACTTCTGTGCCTCGAGGTCTAGAACATACGTAGTTGATTACCTTTATCACTTGTTTAAAATCGACATAGCTTAGTCCATGAATCCCTGCGAAAACCCTTGAGCCCCAACGTTTGTCTTTAATCGCTTACAACCTTCAATTCTATTTGCTTTTCATTCGCTTAATACTAGCTTATATTCGCACTTGTTTAATCGCTTATTACTTGCTTTTATTTTCTTTTGTTTTTCAATTGCTTTTACTTGCTTTACTTTCTAGTTTAGATTTAGTAACAACCAAAACCCAAAACCAAAACCAAAACCAAAACATGTTTAGTTCTAGTCTGATTTAAGCATTGCCGTGAATTCGTACTGAAACAACTAAGTCTCTGTGGATCGATACCCTAAGTACTACAGCGCACATCTGTGCACTTGTAGACATTTAGGGGTTATAAATTTAAAACCTGAAGCTTAGCAAAACGAAAACAACAACCCCGCTTTTGCTCGCAATCATCTACTATCTTGCGTGCATTGACTAAGAAAAAATTGAAATCTTGGGAAGAAACTTTACCGCATGTCGAATATGCATATAATCATTCAATGCATACCGCTTCAAAGTATTCACCTTTTGAGATTGTTTATGGTTTTAACCCACATCTCCTTTGGATCTAATTCATTTGCCCATGAGTGAAAGAGTTAGCATGGATAGGAATAAGAAAGCTGACCTTGTGAAGCAGATCCATAAGAAATTTAGAAAACATTGAGGTCAAGACTAAGCTATATGAGAAGCAAGCCAACAAAGGTAGATGCAAGGTGGTTTTTGAAGAAGGGTATCTTGTTTGCATTCATTTGGGGAAAGAGAGATTTCCTACTGAGAGAAAATCAAAACTTATGCCAAGGATTGATGGACAATTCAAAATCATCAAGAAGATTGGCGACAATGCTTACCAATTTGATCTTCAAGGTAAGTATAATGTAAGCTCAAGTTTTAATGTATCTGACTTGGTTCCATTTGTTGCAGATGATCCAGATTTGAGGACAAATCCTTTTCAAGAGAGGGATGATGTGATCATGGACATGAAGCAAGAAGAAGAGCTTGTAGCTGAAGAACCATTGCTTGCGCCGACTGCTCCTATGACCTGATCCAAGACAAAAAGACTTAGAGACGCTGTTGGCGGGTTACTTACTCATCTATGGAGCCAACATGACGACTTGATCTAAGGAAAATATTGTATAGACACTAATCGGTACTTTATTCTGATGGTTGTATTCTTCATTCTTTTATCAATATAGTTATATTTGAGTATTATTGTAAATTGTTTTTGGGTAAAAAATACTATTTGACTACATAATTTAATCTTAAATGTTTCAGAATTTGTTTGAATTTTTGAGTTTTTAGAAACTTTTGGTTAAAAGATTTAATAATCAAAATGTAAATTTATCATCTCTTAAATTTATATGTTTCAGAAGTTATTTTCTATTTTTTGAAATTCTTAATTATTTAATGTCATTTTTATTTAAAAATTGGCAGTTCCATATACATCTTTTAATGGTATATTGTAGAATTAGTACACAGTCAATATTTCAAATAGGCAAATAAAATAGTTGAGGTATTTTTGTAGATAAAAAAAATAATAATTGGGGCACTAGAAAGCTTAGCGTTATTTAGTTGGAATATCTTTATAGATTTTTTCTAATTATCAATTAAATTTTGAGAAATTGTCGTAACAATTTTTTTTTTCATCTAACAACTCCTTCAGTTTTGTATTAAATATCGTTTATAAAATTAAATTTTGTTTTATTTTATATTTTGAATGCAGATTTTTGAGTAATTGTTTTACTTTTATCTCTACTGTTTTTGCTCATTAACAAGTGAGATCATAGTATATTAGAAGAAATAAAATAGAAAATAAAATTAATTTTTAAGTATGTGTGAAAAATCTTAAATAATATTTATAAGGAAAATTACTTATAATGTACCGAAACTATCTTTTTATTACTATAATGACTCGTTTTAAGTATGGAATAGTAGAAGATATTGGATATTACGTGTACTCCATGATTGTATCACTTTATTACGAGATTGCCATTCGAGAAAATTTTGTTTTTGGTTAAAAAATAAAAATTGAACCCTTTTACTTTTGGTTTTATCTACGTTGACACATGGATTAAAATACATTTACTTTCCCAGATAACTATTCATATTTTTACATTTTACAGAAACTTTTCAGTTTCTTTCTCTTTCGCCGCTCTTTCCTGTATCTTCGTTCTCTCTGACGACAAAACCGTACGTATTCTCAGGCGACGAAATCCGACGAAAATTTGTGGATAAATACCGACGAAATCTCGGTACAGTCTTCTAGTCTGAAATTCTCCTCTTTTCCTGGCTTTCATTACTGTTTTCATTGTCGAAGTTAAGGTGACTCTTCATATTCGCCGATTTTTTGTTCTTTTATTACTTTCCGTTGTCATCTTCTCTGGTTTTCTGTCGTGTTCCGGTCTTTTCTTATAGTGGTGGGTGTTTTTTTCTGAAGAGGAGACCACCGTGTAAAACCCTAATTTTTTTTTTCGCGAAAATTTTTTGTTTTCTTTCTCGAATGTACTGATGATGTTGCGTTATAAAACTAAAATCTATGAATGGTTTGAAGTATGTTGAATGTATTCTATTTTGTTGACAAAGTTATTGAAAATTCCCGCGTTCTTTCCGTGGATTTACGAACTATTGTGTAGACTTTTAATGTTATTGTGTAGGTTATAGATGTAGATCTGTTGAATGTTTTGTTGGGTATATCCCATTTGTTTTCTGTAGAAGATTTGTTGAAATCGTTTATCTGTAGACTTGATTTTGTAGACTTTCTTTATTGATGTAAAAGATATGTTTTGCCCCTTTCTTAAATCGACAGATATATTAGTTATCAACGTAGACTTGTTTAGCTGGATTTGTTAGTTGTAATGTAGAAGACTTGTTTAAATTGTCGTAGACTTATATTTGTATAGTGGACATTTGTAATTATCGATGGTAGACTTTTGCATTACATTGTTGGTTGATAACGTCTTCTTTTACCTGTTGTGCAGAATGGCGTCTTACCCCAGTAGATATTATGGTGATGGAAAGATACCACCGCAGAAGAAGAACATGCACCATTACTGTATTTTGGGGAACATTAGTAGCATCAAGGATGATTTGGGCGATGAAGTGTGGAGCTATCTGTTAAATTCGCTTGTGGGTGCTATTTGTAAGCTTGCTGAAAGTGACTTCACCTGGTCAGCGAAAACGGTGCATAATGTGCTCACACGTCAGTTGGGTACAGGAAAACCTCATGAAATCTGGTGTTTGGTTGATGATCAACCAATTCGTTTTTCTTTGTGTGAGTTTGCTGCGAATTCGGGGATGAATGCAGAGCCATATGACGTAGCAGGGAAGTGGGATGCTGATCATACGGAACGATGGGGGATATGAAGGTTTCCCTCAATGATGGACCTAGTTGGGATGAGCTGCAAGAGGTTTTACGGGGATGTAGGACCTGGACGTTTGAAAAGCGCAGAATGGTTGGCTGTTTATGCGTGCTTTCTGCTGGAGTGCTTGGGCTTCATCCTGCTTCAAAAATTCCACTCAAGTTTGCGAAGAGAGTACTTGATGTTGAAGCATTTGAGCAGTTTCCGTGGGGCAGAGTGGCACATGAGAGTCTACTGGAGTTTGTTAGCGGATTATAACAGCAGATCCTATACCATTGGTGGTTTTGTCCCCATCCTCCAGATATGGGTTTACGAGACGATTACCATTATTGGTGAGAGGTTTGGGAATAAGGTTGATGGGATAGAAGTTCCTCTGCTCTCGTGGCTTGGTTCCCGTAAGCGTTATGACTTCGACTTACTAATGGAAGAGGATAAGACGACGCATGAGAGGGTATGAATTCAATTTTTCTAAAATTTTGAAACTCTTTAATAATATTTTTAAATCAAAATAGACTTAGTAAGCATTGTATTGTTTATGTTATGTAGGTTCGAGTTAGACATATTATTGTCAATGACGGTGAGGACCTGAAACCAAAGTGGAGTAATGATAATGTCGATTCAAAAGTGGACAAACTGCTGGATGATATCCTACACGATCGTCTGGACCGAAATGCCTGGATAATTTATCCAAAAACGAAGACTAGTGGGAAAGAACTGGTCGGTGAAAGTGATGATGACTTTGTTGAAGAAAGGGTAAATCGATCTTCAAAAAAGGTTGTCAAAAACACCAAACACAAAGACGAAATGAGTGTTAAGGAATCAGAGAAAGCTAGAAAGGTGAGTCTTCTTGAGTGATAGTTTAGTTTCTGTATTTTGATATACTGATCAGTTGAGTTTGGTGTCTTTTTAGGTTCCAAGAGTGAGTTCGGCAGACACAGCGACATGGTCTACTTCTCAACCTGATGCTATGGCGGAAGGTATAATAACTCTTTTGCAAGCACTAACGACGAAGGTGGAAACTTTGGGCAGCAGTATGACCACTTCAATGGATGATTTGAAGGGAAAAGTGGACAAAAAATGGCTTTGATAGAAGAAAAAGTTACCGGGAAAATGGCTTTGATAGAGAAAGATGTTGCTGGGACAATGGAATCTATGGTGGGGAAGGTTGAAGGGAAAATTTTTCAACTGGAGAATGAAATGAACGAGGTGAAAGAGTTGGATAAAAAGGCGTCAAAAGCAGAAGAAGTTCACTTTAGTGGCAGTTTGAATGATAACGTAAATAGCAAGAATCCGGTAAGCTTTTGAGTAGATTTGTTTTTTTGTTTCGACTTGTTGGATATGGCTTGAAATGTGTTATTGTTGCAGGCAAAAACTGGAGAGTAATACCAGTGACTCCAGGCTTATGCTTGACATCAGCAATTTTGAAAGTTTCATTTTCTGTTGGGACCTTTATATTCTGTACAAAACCGGTTTTGGGATTGTATTTACTTATTTTGAATCTTTTGTTTAGTTGTGTGAATTTTTTTATGTCCATGCGTTAATCGAATCTTTGTTGTCAATTTTCCCTTTGTTCAATAACAAAAGGTTTCACTATCGGGGTTAAATATTTCAAAATAATAGCATTGACGCAGACATATTTACGGTAAAATTGGTTTTAATACAGTATACATACTTATGTGTCAGATCCTGTATATCAGTGTAGATTTTATTCTCTATTATTGCAGATTAACCATTAGTAGCATGGGGGTAGAGTTGCTTGATTGTTGTTGGTATAGGTAGACATATTTCGATACATGGGTTTAGAATCTGAGTTCTTTGTCTATTTCGCAGTCATGGATGGTTCTGCAGAAGCAGACATCTGATGGAGTGACAACGCAGTGTGTTGTAAGAACTGCAAAACCCTTTGTTAAGGAGAACGTGTTTCCGCCTTATCAACCAACAGATGAGTTGATTGACATTACCGAGGAAGTTGCCAAAGCTGATGCAACGATGAGAAGACCTTCTCATTCAGGTTCTATGTTCTCGAACTCATTTGAACGGAAAAAATGCAATAACGTCGACATAGCTTTGGATGCAATCGCAGGTGCCCTTGGTGTCGACACACCCCTGATAAAGCAAAAAAAGCAGAAGGCCGCTTCCCAGTTATTTCCCTTTCTTGGGAAGTCAGCAGTTAATCGCCTCAAGGATGGTGTAACTCGATCTCTTAGAGCATATGATCCCTTTTACGAAATAGAACCTTTTAAAATGAGGCAATTGATAGATCGGATTGCAGAAGAAGAGTAAGTACTGCTGATTCCTTTAACATACCCGTAAATATACACTTCAAGTCTTATAACTAACACCTTTCCTTAATGTGAAAAAAATTTCAGGGAGAATCCTATATGATCTTTCGTAGGAGCAACCAATTTCTACAAAATATTGATGACCCCAAAGGAGAAGTGGCCAAAAAATGATTACAAATATGGATGGCTGGGTGAATGCGTAAGCCATAAACTTGGACCCTCAAACTCTACTCTACTTAAACTCTCATTTTCAGTGTAGATATTCTGATGTTTTTGGGGATGACTTTCATATAAGATAGAATTTATATAGGGTATATGGAAGGCATAATTTCTGTTATTGACTTATTCTACAATGTATTTTGCAGCACATGACATCTTTCGCACATTTGCTTAGGAAGAGATCTCTCAGAGACCCAACTCCTTTATACAGCCCACGGATTGCTTTTCTCGACCAATGCTGGGTTAATTCTTGGTACCACGACTACAAGCAGTTTGCCATCAATCCAAAAAACTTCATGTTCCGAGAATCATATGTTGAGGTCCTCAACGGTGCATACCCTTACTATGCTGTGACGAACAAAAAATGGGTGGTTGATGTTGATCATCTCTATTTTGCGCACAACATTAACGATCGTCATTGGATTGCTCTTCAAGTGAACCTCCTCAGGCAACATATCGATGTTTACGATTGCATCATATCCGCGTATACCGACAAGCAGATAATTGACGAGGTCAGGATATGCAAGAATGATTCCCTATATGCTCAGATCTGTTGCTCCTCCTGCATCAAAAAAAGACATCATTCTGAAGCAATACACCATACAGGAGGAAGTCGAATGTGCCGCAGAACATACAGACTGGGGATTGCGGTGTGTATACCTGTAAGTTCATCGAGTGCCATGCTCTTGGGTACTCCTTCGATGGGATCAGCGATAAAAGCATGCCTTTCTTGAGGATGAAGATTGAAGTAGAGCTTTTCGATGAGGTCCCTGACACATATAACCAAATGTTTAATCCACTTCATCGAGGTAACCAGAGTGAACGTTTGCTGCTTCACAATGACTCACAGCCATAGGTTCTTTCCAAGTACCAGGGCTAATTTTAGAGTTATGGTTGACTGATTGTATGTACTTGCACCCCTAATGTTTTGTAACGGCGTAATTGGCATAATGTATGCACTAACAGGCCTATTTTTTGGCGGCGTAAATGCCATAAACATTTCGGATGTTTGTAGACTTTTTACGAGTTGTAGACTGAATATGGTATATGTAGACTTATTATTATGTTGAAGGCTCCTAACTTCGTATTCTGTAGACTTATTATTATGTAGACTTACTGAATACGGAGACTTACTGAATACGTAGACTAAAATCTGAATACGAAGACTTACTGAATACGTAGACTTACTGAATACGTAGACTTACTGAATACGTGGACATACTGAATACGTAGACTTATTATTTGTTGACGATGTAGATTTATTATGTGACGCTCATGAGGTAGACTTAGTTAGTCTACACCACATGTGCGGAACAGTTTTCATTTTCACCCGTGATATATAAGTTGGGAATAATTGTCTTTTTAGGGTTTCAATGCCGCCGTTGCATAACGAAAGAATACATTTCCCCCAAAAACGAAGACGATGCCCAGTTACAGTAGCGGTTCTTCCGAATATGAAGACCCTTGGGCCTGTCGTTATGCTCGAGCGGATGCAAATTATGGGATACTGGAAAAATGTTTTTGTGGTCGTCGTCTCATCATTGAAGAGTCCACGGTTACGGCGACGTTCGGCAGAAGATTTTACACATGCCCGGAGATTTTGGGAGAGGTTTGTATGCTTCTTAATAATGATTTCTTTCGAAGATATAGATATCTCCTAACATAAATACATAACAACAATTACATTTTTTAACTAGGAGAATGATGAACACATTTGGAAATGGTGGGACGAAGCAGTGTCAGAGCAACTGTCGATTGTAAAATCCAGAATAGAAGAGCAACGCGAGATGATGCAGAGGTTGTTCAGAGTTGATATTCCTACTGTTTCACAAACAGAAATGGAGAGTCGTATGGCTCATATGCGAATGATAATGGAGGGCAATGGGGATGACATTTCCGAGATCAAGCTACTCATACTCGACATGCAACGAGAAACAGATTGGTTGAAGCAGATAATTACAAACCGATGCTCAGATATTGTGCTCCTTGCGTTATTCTTGGTGTTTGCTGCGATGACTCTTCTGTTTAAGTAATCTGCTCGAAGGCAATGTTTTATGCAACAGGATTAATTAGTCTTCGGATAGCTGTAGTGCATAAGTATCTTTCTCATTATTTATGTAATGATCTTGTAGGTATTAACAACTGTAGAAGGATCTGTAATAAGACCCAGGTATTTCTCTACTTTGCTTCGTGTTTATGTAAAACAATGCTTTGTGTTTTGGTTCAACTTTGTTTCCAGTTCGTGGACAAATTAAAACTGTTTTGTCGACTTTTTATGTTAGTCCACATTGTCTGTGCAGACTTTTAAATGGTCTTGCTTACAGTGGACTTATTTTGATAGTCCACGAAGTCTATGTAGACTTGTAAATAAATGTGTAGACTTATAATAGTCGTTTTGTAAAACCTGAGTGGTATAGCGCATAGTATATTGACTAAATCAAGGGAAAACAAGGGACAACATTCAGATCCCCATACAGGGAAGATTTTACATATTTACGCTACCAAGTTAACCAAGAGACAAACAAGAAAGAGCAAGTCCTAACATTATGACCTGTTTGACCACATTTGGAGCAAGTTGGAAGTTTTCTTGGAACTTTCTTCGCACACGCAACTTCAATGGCTGATTTATACCTACACTTCTTTGGCCTTCCTGGAGGTTGGCGTACCAACGGAGGAACGCATATCTTTGCTTCTACCTCTGCGGGAATTGGTGATTGTCTATCCCTTGGGGCAATGGATGCAGCATAAGCGTTACCAAGATAGGTTGTGTGATAGTATTGATGACATAGCCTTATTGGTGAAACCTTTTTTGCATCCGCAGCCGCAAGAGCATGTACACAAGGTATCTTGTCCAAGTCAAACATGCGACATGTACATTTCTTCATTGTTAAATTGACAACATTGACATATGCTCCAACACCGATTTCAAATTGATGTGCATCAATCTGCTGGACTGGTAGATCTTTACACCTTTCCATGCGACCCTGACCATGTAGTGAATATAAAAAATCAGTGTATCACCAATAATAGGGAAGTATTCTACAATTCCTTGGAAAACGAATTTTACCTCGAGCAACTTCTCAATGCCGCATGTTAAGACGGTTTTCATTAGTCTTGCATCTTCACGCCGCTTAGCAAACCATCTTGTCAACATTGACCTTATAGCGTCTATAAGTTGCATAATTGGCAAGGTTCTAGCCTCTGAAAGGACTTTGTTGATTGAATCTGCTATATTTGTCGTGGTGAAATTGTACCTATCCCCATGAAAATGAACACGCGTCCACAACCGCACATCAGCCTTTTGCAAGTAAGCGTGAAAAGCTGGATTCACCTGTCGAATTTCTTCGAAAATACCATTAAATTCGTGTATTCGATAAGCATTTGCAGCTTTTTTAACAAGCTTGAATGATTCACCACCTCTAAACCGTTGTAATATATTCTTATACAAATCGTAAGTGCAAATTCCCCGAGTTGGTTGAGGATAAATCTTCCCAATGGCGTTTCCAATGGCTCTGTGTCTATCTGAGATGATGGCGAGTCCCCTATCATCTGGTATGACATTGCTTAATGATGTCCGTGTGGTGTTGAGGGTTGTCAAGTTTTACCCTAAATGAAATCAATAGCCGCAAGTGCACAGCTGATCGATTATAGTACTTAGGGATCGAATCCACAGGGAAGGAGGATCTTTCCTGCAAAAACCTTCGAAATAAATATAAAGTAAGGAAGTCTAGAACCAAACGGTTTTGTGGGGGTTTTGGTGGGGTGTTTAAATGCAAAAACGAATCCTAAAGAGACAATACGGGAATTAAAATGACCTAATAACTAAACTTAACGAAAACAGGTAAAAACGGGAAAAACGGCTAACCTAATTGCTTAAATGAAAATCGATTGAAAAGGAATGAAAATATTGAACTAAAGCTTGAAATAAAACGGTGTAAATCTATAAGAAAGAAAGTGTTGGGCTTCAGGGAAGTTTTCTCAGGGGTACGAACGATTCAAAACATTGCTAGAGAGTAAAATCTTAGCTTAAACTTTTCGAACTGGAGTCACGGACGTATGAATACGCCACTGTCGTGATCATAGACAACTATCTCTCTCAACCCTGACCAGTAGGTTTCCACTCTGGCCCTGGAAAAGAAGAGATGCATTATGTTTAAGACTCGTCAGCATTCACAAATCGCCCATAGGTAGGTTTCCACTCCTATGTTTGTTTGCTCTCCCAAACTAGATCTGACACCAGATGAACACTTTCGTGTCACCAAGCATCTGGATCAGATTGTAGTTCATGACGCTACTCTCATGCAGTAAAAACGAATTTAGAAGAAAAAGTTCTAAGATTCGGCTAAATAGCCAATGGAATCCTCACCGAACATATATATCCCCATCGAAAATCCCTTAATCCCAACAATAAAACTACTCAGACATGATGAACGAAATCAAAAACATAGTATTAAAAAGTAGAATAGAAACCGAAATTGAAAAAGAAAGAACAAGGGTTCAAGAGACAAATCTCACTCTCCCTAAAACCTAAAACTTAAAAAGTATTCTAAAACAATAAGAGCATATGAGGTCCTCCTCCTTAGGGTTCGTAAAACATGTATTTATAGTGCTCAAGACATCTTTGGGCGTCACTTAGGATTCTCCAAATGAAGGAATCATTTTGGGCTTCAGAAATGGGCCTTCGGGCTCGGACTTGGCTGGCCGCGGTCGGGATGAGTGTGACCGCGGGGAATGGGTGTCTGGCCGCGGTCGCGGTGCTTCTGACCGCGGGAAATACTCTGTTGGCCGCGGGTGGAAACGCTTGCCGGCTGGTTTACGGGACATCTTGCTCTTCGCGTATCTATTGATTGAACCGTTGGATTGCCAAGCTGTAAAATGTGCTGGAAAGCTGATACTTCCATCTTTAAGATCTCCAAATTTGAGCTGGATCAGACGGTGAGAAGGCCTTCAATCGGGGGTGAACTTCTGACGGTTTGACTCTGAGCTGAAATCTGGTTTTCTATCCATTTTGTTAAGCTTTTCCCTAAGTTACCTGAAAAGAGTCTTGGAACTACAAATACTAGAAAAACGTAATAAAAGTACTTGAAAGCAATTAAAAACATAGAAAAAGTATTTCAAAACGATCCATAAAAGTGGTCAAAATACGGTGTTATCACTTAATTGTTTAAAAAACCACTCCCATGATTCATCATTTTCAGAGTCCACCACGCCAAATGCAATAGAAATATACCAAAGTTCCCATCTTGTCCAGTTGCAAGCAAAAATGTACCTTTGTATTTGCCTTTGTAAGTGTATACCATCAACTACTATGACTTTCCTCATGTACTGAAACCCAGTAATACTTGCACCAAAAGCTATAAACATGTACTTAAACCTGTTGCTCTCGTCAACATGGAGGCGTGTATAACTACCAGGATTAGCTCGACGTATTTGATAGAGATATGTGGGGAGCTCTTTGTAACCACTTTCTGGTGTTCCCCTTAGTAAATCTCGTGCATGTCTCAAAGCACGATGAGCCTTCCAATATTCAACCTACATTTTAACCATGTTTCATATAAGTCCACGGTTACCAAAAAATAGCAGTGTCAGTATAAGATAAGTGCACAAACCGAGTTACCTTAATGCGAAATCGTTTCTGAAATGCATCGGCAACATGATTAGGTAATACGCTTGGACCAACACCGCCAACAAAATCTTTGTAAAGTACACCTAGAATCTGATGGGTCGCTTGCCGAGTACGGCCAGAACGCTCTGTCACAGAACAAGTGTGATTTCCATCATATATCCGAACGTTAAATTGTAAGCTGTTTCCAACTGGTGAAGCTCTAAGCTTCCACGAACAATGCTTAACCCAACACTTCACCACATACAAAGTCGGGTTGATTTGTCCACATCATAATCAAAACGATTGATAACTGAAAGAATCTTCAGCCTTGTCTCCAATGCCTCCTTGTTTACATATCGTTGACCAACAGCAACATTCAAGGCAGACATTTCAAGTACCTGATACTCATCCGGTTTATTTGTCTTACTCGGTGCTCCTTTAATAGTGGTCGCTTGACTCTGGTTATCGTCTTCTACAACGGTTTTGGACTTTCCATATGCTGAATAATCATCATCACCCTCTGATGCCCCATCGGAGTCATCGCAGCAATCAAATATATCTCCTTCTTCATCCAAGTCTTCTTCATCGTGACTTCCTGCATCTTCCTCAATTTTGGCCCTTATTTTTCTTTCTTTCTCGTCGGCCTTCTTTCTGTCTTTTATGGTCACACATAACCGAATAGATGCTTCCAAACACTGATCTAAATACCAATGAAATTGGCGACTGTTTCCAACTACGACAGACGGAGTATCTTGAGGTAAGTGTGCCAAAACTTTCTTTGGAAGCATGTAAGTCAGCTCGATCTGTTGCAATCTTTTGTCGAAATAAAATTCTTCATACACCATCGAAACGAACTCCTTAAAACTTGTTCCATGATCTACAACAACAACTCGACTACCCCTTGTATTGTCAACAAAAAATAACCACCGGTTGTTTTGGTATCTCCATTCACCACATACAATGATTATCTGCATTGTATGAAGACTAAGATTCAAAGAACAAGAAGGAAAAAATTTAGAACAAGTGGATTCATACTCTGATGAAATCGTACTCTGTTTTAGTTCATCGTCATAAATGCAGACTCATTAATTACGTGGCAACTACCAAGCTCAACGAGCAACCACTTTATCATTATGTCTATATGAACGCATAAGTCTGCACCATCGAACGCATAAGTCTACCTCGAAGGCATTTCGTGAAACAAGTCTACAACCTGAACAAGTCCACAAAATGCGAATGAACTTGTTCGATAAATCTGCACCATCGAACGCATAAGTCTACATAACAAGTCTACCTCGAAGGGAAACCCTGAAACAAGTCTACAACCTGAACAAGTCCACAAAACGCGAATGGACTTGTTCGATAAATCTGCACCATCGAGCTCATAAGTCTACTTTGAAAGTCTACGTTCAAGTAAATCAGAGTAACAAGTCTACTAGCTTAACAAATCCACCAAAACAGTGGTCGGTGAACACAGGTAAGTCTGCACCATCAACAAACAAATCTACAAAAAAAGTCTACCTAAAAAGGCATTTTGTGAAACAAGTCTACAACCTGAACAAGTCCACTAAACGCTAATAAACTTGTTCGATAAATCTGCACCATCGAACGCATAAGTTTACATAACTAGTCTACCTCGAAGGGAAACCCTGAAACAAGTCTACAACCTGAACAAGTCCACAAAACGGGAATGGACTTCTTTGAAAAATCTGCAACATCGAACGCATAAGTCTACATTACAAGTCTACCTCGAAGGGAAACCCTGAAACAAGTCTACAACCTGAACAATTCCACAAAACGCTAATGAACTTGTTCGGTAAATCTGCACCATCGAACGCATATATAAGTCTACATAACAAGTCTACCTCGAAGGGAAACCCTAAAACAAGTCTACAACCTTAACAAGTCCACAAAACGCTAATGAACTTGTTCGATAAATCTGCACCATCGAACGCATAAGTCTACATAACAAGTCTACCTTGAAGTTAGCATGTCGACTGAATTAAAAGTCCACGATCAATACTTTAGCGGTAGCAGTAACGTAAATAAGTACCTCGATCTAATAAAAAATTAATGGCACTGTCGTTATTCGTTTTTTGCTAGCATGCATTTATAAGGGTCTTATGGATATTTATGACCCTCAAAAACATTTTTGTCATTTTTCAAACTTTTGATATATTCTAGTAATAAAATGATGATTTTGGTATTTTTTAGTCATTCTCCCTATTTATAATGAAACATATAGAATATAATAACTTTTTAATTACCAAAATAAAATAAAATAACCATACCACTATATTCTCTTATAGTTTTCATAATTTGTGGATTTAACCAAAAAAAAAAAAACACGCCGCTTATATAGAAATAAAGAAATAATGAATGTCAGAGGCCACAATAAATTTTGCAGAAAATGGTACCTGATTTAGGCTATTATATGTTTTTTTATCGATGAACTAATATACATTAATTGGCTTGGGTTCACCAATCATTGACTAGGATTTAACGTTATCTTCTATAAAATATTATCATATAATCAAGTAGTATATTCTCACAATTTAAGGTATCGAATTTCTCCTCAATATATGTCTCTTATCGATGACACAGTGTCCATATAAACTAGCTAGGATTTAACTAGTTAAAATATGTATGACTTGTCCGTTACAATTTAGAGTATAGTTTTCCCATAGTATTTGCTTTTTTTTTTTTAATGGATGGTCTACAGTACATTAATTAATATGTTAGGATTCACCAATCTTCACTAGGGTTTAGCGTTCTCACATTTAAGGATATTATTATTTCGTAAGATAGTTAAAAATTCTGTTTGGGCTCTCACAATCACAATTATGATTTAGATTTTTCCTGCTATAAATCTCTTATGGACGACCTAATGTATATTAATTAGTTTGTTCACTAAATCTTATACAAGGGTTTAGCGTTGTTTCGTTTTGGCTAGTATCATCTTTTTGGGTAATTAATTTATGACAATGTGTTTAAGTATTTATGTGTTTGAATTCCTATTATAATTTTATTAAAGAATGTAAAATCAATTTAACCAAAAACATGTTTTTATAGAATGCAACTTAGTTAGAGTTTTTAGAAGAGATGTTTAAAAGTGTTGGTTAAGAATTTTTTAAAAATATTATATTTTATATATCACCGAGTGTACATTGTAAAAGAAAATTCTGGTTATTTTTAATCCAATTGTACATTTGTTTTGAAAATTCTTCAAAAAGAATAATTAATTTAAATTTGTTAAAAAAGGTTTTGAATAATCAACTTACTTGGTCAAAGTACTCTTATCCTCAAATTATCCTTTATAATTTTTTCTTATTTGGCCAAAACATAATGCGTCTATATTTGTGTGGTTTCTGAATTTTTATTTTATATATAAATTCATTTCTAATAGATACAATACCTCCAATCTTGTAAATTCTCGCTGATATATTGAAATAAACCATAAACTAGTAAAAAAACATGATAAATAATCATTCTAATATTTGAAAATAAAAAAATAGTAATGGGCCTAACTTACAATATTAATTTCTCGATTGTGGGCCACATCCGTAGATGTCCAGTCCCACAAACTTCACGTTTCAGATGTCCAGTCCTGAGCGTGAGAGGGGTGTATCAGATGATTTGTCCCACATCGATGATATAGGAGATTTGTGGACAATATATAAGTATGTGGCAATTAGCCACTCACGAGCTAGCTTTCAGGTGTGAGTTAGGTTCATTACTAATATGGTATCAAAGCCTAAGGTTCAAATTTTTTGATTATAGGCCACACTCGTGGATGTTCAGTCCCACAAACTTCACGCTTCAGATGTCCAATACTGAGCGTGAGGGAGGGGGGTGTGTTAGATGATTTCTCCCACATTGATGATATTTGAGATTTGTGGACAATATATAAGTGTGTGACAATCTTCCACTTATGAGCTAGCTTTTGGGTGTGAGTTAGGCCCATTACTAATTGATAACACCGTATTTTGAACATTTTTATGGATCATAAATGTATCTTATGCAGGTGTTTTAACTCTGTTTTCAATGGTTTTTAAAGTGTTTTCAATGTTTTAGAGTTTCAAAAGACTGTACAGGAAATTTGGGCAAAAGATATGCAATTTGGAACAAATGAGCAATTTTTGATAAATGCAGACCATCAGAAGTATGACAAGCGATGAAAACCTTCTCACCGTCTGATCACCCCCACAATTTGAGACAACATAGAGGATCCAACCAGCTTTCTAATGCACTTGGTTTGAAGACAATCCAACAGTTAGATCTTCAGGTACTTCCGATGCAAGAATGACAGAAAATGCAGTTCCGGAAAAGAGCCATGTGTCGAGACCGCGGCCAACACCTGTTTTCCCGTGGGTAGAGCCACCGCGACCGTGAAACTTGGTCGTTCACTTTCCAGACGACTTAATTAATGCCCAGATCAATTCCTTTCGTTATTTTTGAAGCCCTAAGTGTTCAAGACCACTTCAGAAGCTATAAATACCCCTTTTAGGTCATTGTAAAGGGGAGGACCGAAACTGAGATAACTTAGAGAGAGAGAGAGAGAGAGAGAGAGGGATTTCGTGTGGAACCCTTGAGAGGAGGCCGCCGCATCAGAAGAAGGAGCCGCCGCTTGAGGAAGACATCGCGCCTCCATCTGCTTCTCCGTTCTTCGTTTTTCTTCCTTCTTTTCTTTAATTTCCTGCACTTTCAATACTCTATGATGGTTTGTTACAATATGTTTGAGTAGTTACCCAGTTGGGTTTCAAGGGATTGTTCAAAGGGAATTTCATGTGTCTTTGCTTATGAATTGCTAGATTTAGGATTATTAATCTTCTAGATGTTCTTCGTTTGCCTTTAATCTTACTGCGTGATTCTTTGCTGGCCACTTAGAAGCCGATCTGACATGATATGTTGCGAAAGCTTTCATTGATTTTCTGAACTAGGGTGAAACGAGCAATGATTCTTTAGGAGTGGAAACCTACCTATAGTTGAGTTTTGAATGTTGATGAGTCTTGTTCTGCTATTGCATCTTCTCCCTTCCAGGATCAGAGTGGAAACCTACTGATCAGGTTTGCGAGAGATAGTTGTTTAGTGCTGCGAAAGTAGGCTATTCATACTTCTGTGCCTCGAGTTCTAGAACATACGTAGTTGATTACCTTTATCACTTGTTTAAAATCGACATAGCCTAGTCCATGAATCCCTGCAAAACCCATTGATGCTGAACGTTTGTCTTTAATTGCTTACAACCTTTGTATTCCTCTGCTTTTCATTCGCTTATTTCCTTGTTTCCATTCTCCTTTGTTAATCGCTTTTACTTACTTTTTTTGCTTTCGTTTTCAATTGCTTTTACTTGTTTAGCTTTCTAGTTTAGATTTAGTGACAATCAAAAACCCAAAACCAAAACCAAAACCTTTTTAGTTCTAATCTGATTTAAGCGTTGCAGTGAATTCGTACTGAAACAACAAAGTCTCTGTGGATCGATACCCTAAGTACTACAGCGCACATCTGTGCACTTGCACACATTTAGGGGTTATAAATTTAAAACCTGAAGCTTAGTAAAACGAAAACCGACCAAACCCGTTTACAATCGCATCACTAATACAGATCTTTTGCAACAAATCTCTTAGATTGGTTTGACTTTTGATCATTTCTGGTATTGTGGCTCCAATTAATGTTGTAATATCCTTAACCCATCCCCTATATTTAAAGAGATGATATCTAAAATATTTTGAAAAAAGAAAAAATTATAATATAAACAAATAACATATTTTTTTTTAGTCTGATTATATGGGATCAAAAGTGTGTATGCGGAAAGTAAATAGTTTCAAAGCATAGTAACGGTCCATTC